GGAGGCACAAAGTTCAACTCCACCGATCACCTTAGAGCGTGTGTGGGAGCGCATGGATGGCATGTACGAGTACATGGGCCAGATGTCCACCCAGATGACTGGCATGTACGACTACATGGGGCAAATGACCGCCCAGATGAGCACAATGTAGGTAACCGTGAATGAGATGCAAGATGAGTGACGATCTTTCAGCGGAAGATACATGCATCCCACCACATCCGACCACCATCATGCTAGCACCACCAATGAAGAAAATGTGGATGATGGAGAGAGGGGAGATGAGTAGGAGCGCGGAGATTTTAGATTGTGTGTTTTTATTGTTAAGTGGTCAAAACGATTGTTGATTGTTATTCTGTTGTTTTTTTAGTTTTATTTTTATGTGTGAACAATTATGATTTCTGTTTTATTGTATTTCTTGTTAGTTTGTTTAGTTTTTATGCTATGAATTGATGAGTCCTTGTTATCATTATTTACGACTATTTATGATGGTTTGAAACATAATTTATACGAGCAAAAGAACCACACAAATCGACATACATAAGCAAAAAAGACATAGGGCATAGGTTGACTTTATTGTATTCGGTCGACCTCGTACCGGATTAGGTGGACCTCGAAACCAACACTTGATCTTCATTTTACGTCAAATGATTGGACACTTTGATAGAACACTTATCCTCTATCTGGTCGACCTCTTTCCTTATCCGGTCGACCATTTTGTTAATGACTGCCATCAAGTGGTCGACCTATATACCTTAGGTGGTCGACCATGTTGTTTCTGACGCCAACAAAATGGTCGACCAAAAATAACAACTTAAACTAAGTGCGGTCGACCAGGTGGTCTTTGAGGTCGACCGCAATGCTTTCTCGTGCTGCCCAAATTAGTCATTCGGTCGCCGCCTTCAGTAATAGTTCGACCGAAAAGTCCATGTCAAGGTGACATGCCTGTCATAGTAGGAATACCCAAACTGTAATTTGTATGTAAAACTCCAAGGAACGTAGGGGAAGGGGGAAGAGCAGTTACTATAATAACGTTATTAAAAAGAGTTAATATTGTTTCTAACACCACCCTATCTCCTCTCGATCCGTAAAGGCTATAAGCCAAGCATATAAAATGGGGAGCGGATCAGGTCAGTAACCTTAGGATGAGTAACTCATCCACATCAGCATCCCTCTCCCTTATGGAAAGCCTTTTATATTTTTCCCTTTAATTTTTAACAGACGATTTCTCTCTCGTTTTAAGTTGGAATTTAAATTTTTTTGCACAGATAAATCAGATTAATTGTGCTCTTTAAAATGATATCCACTTTGATATATTTTCAGAACAAAAAAAATTGAGGCATTTTTAACCAGCCAATACCATATAGTATTAAATAGGAGCAAACCATATGGTAAGAAAGCGTACCTTGATGGTATGAACATACCAAGACTGTAGGAAGGTTGAATACATGATAATAGGAGTATACTAACCGTTATTTACGACTTTCATCATTGTTTACCACAAGTTACCACCCCCATACGAGAGTGGTAAACTATGATAGTTTTTAGAATTGTATTTTTTTCACCCAAAAATTTGTAGATCCAATAGATCATGATGAACTCATTCCTTCTGAGCAAATAATTTCAAAAATGACTTAAAAACGAAAAAGTTACCATATGGTATGGAGTTGGTAACGGGAGGTATGAAAAAATTCTCAATTTTTTTTAAATTGATCTCATTTTGTAGAGCACACGAACTCGTTTCATCTATGCAAAAACAATTGAAATATGAACTAGAACGAAGAAGATAAAAGTCGACTAAGAAAACTAGGGAAAATAAAATACATTTAATTCACAACCTGTAGATCTAGATTTGTGGCCCACTTAAATCTAAAGGTTCATATTTAGTTACTCATACGTAAGTAAAACTTACAGTATCTTAAGCCTATAAAAAGGGAAGAGAAAAATTACCAGGCCACCCATCTTAATACTCTTCTTTGTCGGTGTGTTTTAATTGGCCATTAGATTTATTGCATGGTCATGTAATGTAATTTTGTAGGACTTCATAGATTTGGATTTTGTGTTCTATCCTTTCCTGTAAAATAAATTAATTCCTAACCATAGTTATCATGCTGGTGGTCAGCATGCAACAGGCACCGGTTACAAAACTGTCTTGAATGCCCTCGGTTTAGCTGGTTTGATCAATTTTTTTACTTCTAAACAAAATGGCGTTGTTTTGGTGAGTTTAATTAACAAAAACAATTGATTTGTTTCTTGAATTTGAAAGTTGCATGTTGATATTATTTGTTGGATTCAAATTATGAATTGCTTAGATATTTATGTTATTTGTTGGATTCAAATGTAAACTTTTGGATGTTGGAGTTAAATGTTCCATTTAGATATGAGGATTTTTTATTTTGTATTAATCTTTTTTATTTAACTATCGAAGTAGATATTAGAGAGATTGTCTGGAATAAGCAAACGATGACACTAATTTACACAAGAATAAACATAATTCTCATACGTTAAGATGATAAAAACATATAAATCCATTATTTTTTGAACGGTTACTTACACATAAGTCGTGACTGCCAAATAAAAAAAAAGGTATGTAGTGCATGTGCCGGACAACCTTCCGATGGATGCTGCAACTCCATTGTTGTGTGCGGGAATCACTGTATTCACGCCTTTAACACTCTGTTTCCGAAGGAGGGAAGGAAAATGGAGGGGAGAGAAAATTTGAAGGGGAGAGAAAAGGAGGGAAGAGAAAATTTAGAAAGGAGGGAAAATGTTGTTTTATGGAGGAAAAGTGGGAAGGAAAAAATATATTGGGAAGTGTGATACATTTGTTATTTTATTGGTTATGTGAAAGTAAAATAATAGATAAATATATTTGTATGGCCCAAACTTTTTACAAATTAAACATTATGACCAATGTTTTCGATCGATAACATCATAGCCTCAACTATGCATCAAAGTTACGAAATTGGCCAAAATAAAAAATATAAATGGTAATAGGTGGAAAAGTAGGGTGGTGAAGGGAAAAATCGAAAAAAGACGTAATTCACAAACTAAAGAGAAAAATGATGCTATGCGCCCAAAAGTCTTGTTACGAGTCAATTCGGTGGATCGACTCACCCATAATTATCCCCTCAAAATTTTCCATACCTCCCTTAAAAAATATTATTATTTAATTAATAACTAAACTCATAATAATATTTGTCTTCACCCATAATTATCCCCTCAAAATTTTCCCTACCTCCCTTAAAAAATATTATTAGTTAATTAATAACTAAGAGGACGTAAACCATTACTAGCTCTTCCATTATGTTAACAAATAATTATAGTTTATTAGTTAATCACCTATAATAGGTGATCATAAAATAAAATTTAATTAATTCCTTGTCTAGCATACTAATATTTAATGTAGCAAAAGAAGAAGAAAAAAAAAGCAAAACCAAACTAAAAAATAGCAACAAAAAAATGAAACAATGCAAGTGGTAGTGGAGAACTTTCTCTCTAAATTGGAGGGGTGGGTTCTACAGAAAATTTTATCTCCTGTTTTCCCTTCCCTTGCACTTTTCCTTCCTTCAAAGACAGGGAAAAGTTTATGGAAAACTGTGCTTTCCATCCCACTTTTCCCTCCCCTCTCCTTTTCTCTCTTTCTTGAACACAGTGTAATGGACCATGACTTGATTGACTGGATCTCCAATAAAAAAGATAGGTCATGTTGGACTCGGTGGCCTAGGGCACGCGGCTATAAAATTTGGGAAGGTATTCGGCCACCATGTTACTGTCATTAGTACCTTTCCTTCCAAAGAGAAAGAAGCTAGAGACCGATTATGCGCTGACGACTTCATCGCGAGATCCAATCTCAAACAAATGGAGGTATATAAATTCATCTATGCACTTCACTATCATCATTTTCTTCTCCTTTACCTTTTGGATATCCAATGACTTCAAACTACTAATCTTGTTTGAACCATCCTATTTGCCTCCTCTATTAAATGTTATTAGGTTATATATAAAGAGTAAAATTTTATTTTATCTATGGTGGTAAATTGGTAATAGGTGAGAAAGCGTAGCCTCGACTTTATACTGGATACGGTGTCGGACGATCACTCTCTCGGGCCAATCTTGGAGTTACTGAAAGTCAACGGGACGATGGTCATCGTTGGGGCTTCAAGCAAGTCCCTTGCACTCCGGGATTTTCCTGGGAGAACCGGTAAGAGATTGAGATTACCCAGCCCACAAACTCAATTATCCTAGTTTGGGCCATGGCCCATTATGATGACCGAAGGAGAAGTTCATTAATTTTTGTGCTTATTTTGTAAACACTAATTTTTATGCAGGGAAAAGAACGGTGAAAGGTGGGATCATCGGAGGAATGAAGGAAACGCAAGAGATGATGTACTTGTGTGGAAAACACAACATAACTTGTGAGATTGAAGTTGTGAAGCCAGACGATATCAATAAAGCACTCAATCGACTTGTCAAAAATGATGTAAAGTATCGTTTTGTTATAGATACTGTTGGTAACTCATCCAGTTTGTAATCAGAGAGGTTTTTTTATCGTTTTTAATTTTCTTGTTGGATACTGATTGTATCATGGTTTCTGAGCTGGAAACTCTGATGATAAAATAATAATTGGGAAATAAATCTACACAAAGAAATTGAACTTTAAAATTTGAAATCAATTAAATTATGTATTGGTTGGCATATATAAATTGTATTTGGGGTTTTAGGATAATATTTTGTTCCTGTGTTTTTTTTTTTTTTTTGTTAATTGCTATGTCTAACTTTTTCTTTTAATAGTGCGCCTTTGGCTAAACACAAGTTTAATCTAGTATTGCTCCACAATGATTAATTATCATGGAAGAAAGGACACATTCAATTTCAGAGCAATTATTCATGTTCTGTGGAATGAATAGTACTTAATGTTAAATAATCATAGCAACAAATATAATAAGAAAAAACTTCTTTTTCAGAAAAAATATAAACAATAAAATTTGCCACCATATAAGCCCAAACTCCAACAGCAATACAGCACCCCCATCTTAACTCCATCCCACCACCAAAACCCAAATTTCTTCCCTCCCAAGATTCCCAGTCTGATTATCGATGGCCCAAACGACGCCGAACCACACCCAGACGGTCGCCGGCTGGGCCGCTCGCGATTCCTCCGGCGAGATAGCTCCTTACACTTTCAAACGGCGGTCAGTTCCCCCGACCGTTGCTCTCTCTTTCTTTCATATATATATTTCACAAAAAGTTATGTTTTCTTCCTCCCTAAACTCCACAAATGCTCGATTAACTACTTTGATTAGCCTTTCAAATGATGATGGATTTTAAGAAATAAAGCTAATGATCACAGGGAGAACGGTGATAGCGATGTAACGATAGAGATATTGTACTGCGGAATCTGTCATACAGATCTCCATCAAGTGAAGGATGATTGGGGCATGACCATGTATCCTATTGTTCCCGGGTATGTATACGAAATTCCGAATTATGTAGAGTATCTAGGCATCTTATTGCTAGAAGTGAATTTGAGTTGGACTATTAGTCTATAGCGCTGATGGTGAAATATATCCTATTATTATAACACTAATTGTTCATTACAAAATTGAGTCATAATGAGTCATGCGGTTGAAGAGTTGAGTCATATCCAGGTCGGATAATATTTTTGTGATATGTTATTAATTTTGAAACTACTAATTTAATTAACTGCTTGAAATTTGTAATCTCCACACTAATTTGGTTGGGGGTTTGAATTTGATTACGAGCATCTTAGGCATGAGATTACGGGGATAATTACCAAGGTGGGTAAAAAAGTGGAGAATTTCAAGGTTGGAGACCGAGCAGGAATCGGTTGCCTGGCAGCTTCATGCATGGAATGTGACTTTTGCAAGAGCTCCCAAGAAAATTACTGCGACCAGCTTCAGTTCACTTATAATGGCATTTTCTGGGACGGCAGCATTACTTATGGCGGTTACTCCAAAATGATCGTCGCTGACTACAGGTAAAACTGCAAAAATTTTCTATTTACCTTGTGAACATCGGAACCTATAGTTGTTAGCAAAATAATAATAATAATAATAATAATAATAATAATAATAGAATTAAAACAGATGTCATTCGCAACTAAGGATCCATAAGAAAATATAAATATTCATTTAATTTCCTATAAACCCATAAAAGTAAACGAAAACTCCAACTTGCTAGTTGTTAAACAGATACTTTAGGGCTTCGAAAGCAACAAGGGTTGATAAACTAATACAAGGGAAATATTGCCAAATCTTCCAATTAAGCATCCTCGACAACATCGATACCTTTTTTCCATGTGAAACCTAGCTCCTTCACTTTGAACCTCTTCAAAAAGAAAAGACTAGTCTCGTCCACGTGAAAGTGATTATGTTCGATAATGTATTATGTAACACTACCATATCATGCCATTGACGAAAAAGATTGTGATATGATGTGAACAACATACAACTCTATTCTTTCTCCAACTATTACTTATACATTGTTGTTGTGACTTTGAAATAATAATAAAAAAAGGTACGTAGTGCATGTGCCGGAGAGCCTTCCAATGGACGCTGCAGCTCCATTGTTGTGTGCGGGAGTCACTGTGTTCACACCTTTAAAGGATCATAATTTGATTGAATCCCAAAGAAAGAATATAGGCGTTGTTGGATTGGGTGGCCTAGGGCATGTAGCCGTAAAATTTGGGAAGGCGTTCGGCCACCACGTTACTGTCATTAGCACCTCTCCTTCCAAAGAGAAAGAGGCCAGAGACCGATTAGGTGCTGATGACTTCATTGTTAGCTCCAATTCCAAACAAATGGAGGTATATAATTAAATTCATCTATGTACTTTACTATCATCATTTTTGTTTCCCTTTTTTTATGTTGGATATCTAATAACTTCAAACTACTATTGTTTGAACAAGTCTATTTGCCACCTCCATTAGATGATATTAAATTTAAATATATTAAATAAGATTTTATTTTATGTATGATAATAGATGGGAAAGCGTACGCTCGACTTTATACTCGATACGGTGTCGGCTGATCATTCTCTTGGACCAATCTTAGAGTTACTGAAAGTCAATGGGACGTTGGTTATCGTTGGAGCTTCAAGCAAGCCCCTTGAACTCCCATCTTTTCCTCTTATATTTGGTAAGATAATGAGATTACCCAGGCCACAAACTTAATTCTCCTAATTTGAGCCATTGCCCATAACAAAAGTTCATCGATTTTTGTGTGTTTAATTAAACACTAATGCAGGTAAAAGAACAGTGAAAGGTGGGATAATCGGAGGAATGAAGGAGACACAAGAGATGATGGATTTGTGTGGAAAATACAACATAAATTGTGATATTGAAGTTGTGAAGCCGGACGATATTAATGAAGCACTCGGTCGTCTAGTCAGAAACGACGTGAAGTATCGTTTTGTAATCGATATTGGTGGTAACTCGTCCAGTTTGTAATTGGAGAGTTTTTATTTAGTATTTTTTTTTTGGTTTTCTTGTGGAAGTTTTAAATAATATTGTTGGTTTTCTTCTGCGAACTCGTCTAGTTTGTAATCGGAGAGTTTTCTTTGATATTGTATCGGAGAGTTGATCTTTGGTATTACATTTGGCTTTCTTGTTGGATATTGATTGCATTATGATCTCTGAATTGTAAGACAATCATGGTAAAATTATATTTGAGAAATAAATATTGATAAAGAAATTGGAATTTGAAACTTGAAATCAATTAATTTTTTATGAATGGGTGGAATTTTATCCATCTATACAATCTGTACAAAGTCCTGCAGTTACAATCTTTCAACTTCAATCTAGCTAGAGTAATCTACTTGTTACTACTATGTACAACTATCATTAGAGTGGTTTATACCACAGGATTCGAGCAGTTAGAGATGCAGCAAAACCTTGTCTCCAAGTTCTTTTGCTTCCATAATAGTCTACATCCTCTTAGCCAATTCCTCTACTAATAGCTGCTTCCCGCCATAGAGTCTTCGGCACCTCTCCCTCCAGACTTCACTGAGAACCAAGCACCGAAGTATCCTTACCACCTGACACTTACTCAACTTCTGGTTAGCTGTCTCCACTGCCTACTGCAAACTAGCTGCAATATGAACCTGCCAAGAAACTGGGAACACACTCCTCCGTAGATCCTGCATATATACACACTGGAAAAAAAATATGGTCCCTAGATTCTGCCTGCAGCCTACATAGTGGGAAAATTATACTCACCTCACCTCATCATTTTAACCCTGGACTTTGTCCAATGTTGTGATTCTCCCCAACTAAATAAGCCATGTTAGCAATGAGTTCTTAGGTATACCTCCTTGCCAAACCAATTTTGACCACGCCAGTGCTTCCCCACCTTGCTAAGTTGGAATCTGGCATTGCTACTCCCTCCCATTCCCCCCCCCCCCCCCCGGTCTACTCTACACAGTCTGCATGCAAAAGTAACTCGAAGTTTTAGAATTTTGTTCCAAATCCAAGAGTCTTTTGTATGTACTTCCCAAATGCTAAGATTTTGGAGTCTGTACTCCTTTAACTAGGCAATACAGAGATTTTGATGTTCAGAAAGAATCACCCACAGATGACGAGCTAAACACGTTTTATTCCAAGAACTGAGATCCTTAAACCCCAGACCACCTTTAGCGTGGGGAAAAGCCACCATTTTCTAGGAGACCCTTGCCCTCCTCTTCTTTTCTAAATCACTCCAGAGAAATTGGGAGCACAGTCTTTCAATTTCGTTGAAAACTTTCTTAGGCAACAAAATGACATTCATCCAGTATTGAGTCATACTGGCCAGTATTGATATGACCAATTCAAGTTTCCCAGCATAGGATAAGAGTTTGGGCTGCCATCTAGGATCCTCCAGACTATTCTTTCAATTAATGCTTTGCAGTCTTCAGTAGTAAGTTTCCCTACATTCAAAGAGCCCCAGGTATCTGACGGGTAGGCTTCCTTCCTTAAAACCAGAGTGCCTTACCAGCTCAGCCCTTAATCCCTCTAACACTCCTACACTGAACATCTCATTCTTACTCGGGTTACACTTGAGCCAGAAACTAGGTAGAATTTCTGGAGTATCTCAGCTACTACCCCCACCCCCTCTACTGACCCTTAGGTAAAGATTAATAGGTCGTCAGCAAAGCACAGATGGGTAATTTTAATTCTATTGCATTGGGGATGAAAAGAGAGAATAGATCTAGCTGCTACTCTATCAAGATTAAAGCATACAACTCAATACCTACATACTGATGGCAAACAGATAGGGAGATAAAGGACAAGCCCTCCCTCAGCCCTTTTATTGCATAAAAATTCCCCGTGAGACCTCCATTTATACACACTGTGAAACTAGCAGATTCCAAACACCACTTAATCCAACTAACAAACTGCTCGTGGAACCCCATTGCCATCAAAACACAATTCATAAAATCCTAGTCTACACTATCAAATGCTTTCATGATATCAATCTTGAGTGCACATCTAGGGGAAACATTCTTCCTACGATACCATTTAACTAACTCATTTGCAAGCACTATGTTATCCGTTATTAATCTCCCTTCAATAAAAGCTGATTGATTAGCGCTTATTAATTGTGGAAGGACCTTCTTTAGGCGATAAGCTAAAAATTTTGAGACACACTTGTACACAAAATTACAACAGGAAATCGTTCTAAGTTCTTCATAGAGGTAGCATTAGGTACCATAGGAATGAAGTTGAGAATGGTGCAATTGGCTTCGTTTCTCAATGCACCAGAACGAAAGAAATCCTGAACAGCCTGAGTCAACTCACCCCAACAAGTCCCCAGTGTTCTTGGAAGAATTCAGCAGTGTATCCATCAGGTCCAGGGGCCTTTCCCTTCTTCATTCCCATCACAACCATCCTAATTTCATTTGCTGAGGCTATAGAACATAGATTCCCAGTGTCATCTGGCAAATGGAATCTCAACAACTGTATAAGAGTGTCCACAGTAACCCTTTTCAACTATGGGTCTTGAGTCTCTAGTAGCTTCTTATAGAACTGCACTGCCTCTTAACCAATCTCCTTAATGTCCTCCAACATTGTTCATGTTTCATTAACCAACTGTTTTATTGTGTTCTTATATTGCCTTGTATTGACCATGCTATGAAAGAATCTTGAATTTGAATCTCCATAATTCGCCCACTGTTGTCGTGACTTCTGCCTGAGAAATGACTCTTCAGCCTTCTGTATTGCTAGAAGCTGGAGCATACACCTCTGCTCAGCCTGAAAAGCTGACGAGGCAGGGCGCTCCAACACTTCCAGCTGAGATTTTTCAAGGTCGTCTTTTGCCTTCTTAACTTTCTCGTGAATATATGAGTAACACTCTCTATTTAACTTCTTCAAACGTGCTTTAATATTTCGGAGCCTCTGATATAGCCTAGCCATTGTTGAACCTGTGACAGGACAAATAAAACCTTTTTTCACTAAGGTTTCATATTGTGGAAGTAGCTTCCAGAAGTTGAAGTATTTAAATGGGTGAGGTAAAGTTTGAATCTTGGAATCTTCACTAATTAGCAGACCACAGTGATCAGAGAGTCTAGGGAGGAGAATATTTACTGAACTTCTGGTAAAAACTTCCATCCATCTTTCTGAGACAAGCACTCGATCTGATTTGGGCCTAATTGTACACATTTTACCTCTCATTTCTTGATAGTTTGGCTTTGCATTTCATCATCCCTCGACATATTTCACGCTAGGTTGTGCTTGTTTGGATACATTTCAGGTCCTAGCATGTGTGGAAGGGTCGAGGATGAGTTTTGGGATGATTGGAGGTCGAAAAAAGCGCAAAAACTGAAGTAAAGTCCAACCCGTAACAGTGAAGCGCATGCGTCTAGGTTTCAGGCCATGTTCACGATTTCCCATTGGATTTCACGGTCTCCTAAGGCCGTGAACTGGAACCACAAACCGTGAACTGCGAAACGTCCAGGGAGGTTCAGAGGTTACTGACGCCGAGTGAGTTCACGGTCACCAATAGGGCTGGAAGTTTGGTATCGATATTTGGGATATACCGAATACCGTACCGAATTCGTCTATATTTGGTATTACCGAGTACACGTATTATTTTTGGGATTGAGATTGGGATTGAATTTCAATTGTAATTTAGTATTAGGGATTACGAGATTGGGATCCGTATATACCAAAATACCGATCAATAGCGAAATATAAGCTATTGTATTTTATCCTCTCAACTAGACTCTCTCATTCACTACTACATGACCCTTAACCACCAAAAGTGTCATTTAATTATACATAGATCATTCCATCTTTGTTTCACAACTCAGAAGTCCCCATCCAACTCAATTTTGACTTTCCAGTTTAAGTCACTCTCATATCTCACCTAATCATTTGTTATTTTCATAACACCAAAAAGAAAACACTAGTATTAGTTGTCTCTCTTCGTTAAATTAAAGATTACCAATGACAAAAACTTGAGATGTCACCTCTCCTTCATTCTCCTTATCCATATCCTAGCTCTAAGCAAACTCAATACTCTTTACTTAGTCTCTTTGCCCTAAATTAAACAATCAAATCTAATTTACATATTTAACTATTTATTTAAAATGTAATTAATTTCGTATTTGATAATACCAATTGGGATACCGAAGTACCGATTGGGATACCGGAATATTTAGGGATTGGGATACCGAAATTATTTAGGGATTGGGATTGATTTTCGGGTGTAATTCGCTATTCGAGATTTCGGTATTTGGTATTGGGATACTGATACCGTATCGATTTTCACCCCTAGTCACCAAGATCGTGAACTGGAGTTGTTGGCTATGAACTCCAGTGAGTGAAGCGGTGCGTTTCGACATAGCATGCCGAGTTCACGGACGCGTTGAGGAGTTCACGGCCGTGAACTGAGCCCAATCCCAGTATAAAATGTGAGCTGAAAGGAAGAGAGAGGTGAGAGCCCCAAAAGGGGGGAGAGCCTTCTTCTTGAAACCCTAGAGATAAAAAGTGACGAAACAGGGGGAGAAGAGGCTAGGGTTTGCTCTAAGTGAAGATTTTGGAAGATCCTCTCCCAAGGAGGAGTTCTACAAACACTAGGAGGGTTGGAGGCATCACAATGATAGTTTCTTTCTTCTTCCTTTTTCTTCTTCCTTTATCTAGCATGTAGTAGTTTTCTTTTTTACTTTCGTGTAGTAGAACCCTAACTTTTATCATGTAATTGATTGTGTGGATTGAATGATTGTGTGATGAAGATGTTTAATTTAAGGTTTGAGGTATTATTCATGAATGATTGTGTTGTATGAAAGCCTATCAATCTAATTGCCATTCTAACCTAGCTTAGAGAGGAGACCTCCTTTGGTTAAGCGGCTCTTTTAGAGATGTGTTTCCTTGGGCATTCCATGCCTTCTATTCTAGGTTAATTAAGAGAAAACCTCTAAGCTTGAATTAGACATCTGGGTTAATTGTGATTATATCGTCCAAACCCTTGGTTTGAGGGAGAAGGTAATTCAACCCTAAATTGCTTGGGCCAAGAGGGCTACAATTGTAGCCTTTGACCCCTATCTTGGCCTAACGACTGGGAGAATGGTTTCCAACCATTGTTGCACCTCCAACGGGTCACAATTTCCTCGTCACACGCCGCTTCATTCAATACCACGGTTCTTGGTAGTTGGTTAGGGGAAAGCAAAACCCGAGTGAAGCTTCTCACTTAGAGTTTTCCACCCATTTTACCTTACTTGCTTATTTTCATT